TTCAGAGTCTGAGCTACAGGCAGAGCCTTCTGCTCCAAGCTCTGGCACCTTAAACTTTGTTTTTGACAGTTAAAGACTTTCAGGTGTTGGGTGTTGATCAAGTTTTTCTGAACAGTAAGGTAAGAATTCCAGTTATTGTCATCCCTCAGTCCTGATTAAACCTGTTTGATTTCACTAGTTTTTAACCCATCTTGTGTTTGGGTTTCTTCTGCCGGTCCCTGGCTCTACCTCTTCTTCCACAAACGTCAGCATAGCAGAATCTGTCAGCCCTTTGTCCAGTAAGAGAGCAGAAATGAACATCCTAGAAATCAACCAGGAATTGCGCTCACAGCTGAAAATGAGTGAACAGCAGTTCTAGGACCTCAAAGAGAAATTTCTTGTCTCTGAAGCTCCTGCCTACTGTCTGACCAACCAGTTACAGAAATACAGTAAGTTCTACAGGCTCATTATCACTAAAGTGATAAGTGATCACTGTCTTCTCTCTGAGAACCTAAACACTCTTTAGACCTGATTCCTCTCTTCTCTTCATCAAAATAAACTTCATCCTTCTCATGCTCCCAGAAAAGTAGAAATAGATATTTTAATCTCATTTTGCTGAGGACTGAAAAACTGGGCACGAAGTGTTTAGCAACTTTTCCACATTTGCAGTGAAGTGTAGGGTGGGGTTAGAGTTAAAGTCCCAATTATTGATGCCTGATGCAGACACAAAACTTCCAGTTTCTCTCAATAACAGCCTAAACCATTTTTACTAGGACCCTCTCTGTGCCATTTAAAATCCTGCAGGCAAATAACGTTTAGTCTGTTGGTGTAAATGTCTGAAACTAATGAACTTTTATTCAATTTAAGCGTCTATTGAGGCCCAATAGGCAAAGCCCTGTGCGGTCCACACTGGGGGAAAGATGCTGATAGTTCACATTCCCTGCTTTCCAGGACCTTAACGAGGAGTCTGCTCTTAGTAGAACCTGTGGTATCCATAAGTGACAGCATCAGGAGCAGGGACGACCCTGCTGAGAGGGAAGTCCTGCTTCCCAGAGCAGAGGCTCTTATTCCTAACGAGGAAGAAAGAGAGTACTCAAGACTCTGCTGAGGTAGCAGTGCAGTGTGGAGAGGAGGGACCCTGGGCTAGTCTCCTGGGCTCCAGTCCAAGTTGTTTATCTTCTTTGTCTCAGTCTCCTGATCTGTTAATAGGGTCCTATAATAATTCCTACCTCTGTAAATTACTGCAGTGAATTACAGGAACTCGTTCTTGTAAATCTCCTGGAACAGTCCTTGGCACAGAGTAAAAACTATTTATTAGTTATTTGTTCTACTATTTCTAATTTAACACAAACTTTATTAGCATTTGGGCATTTTTTTCTTAGGGCCTTATGGTCTTATGCCTCATATTTTACTAAATTGTGTCCAGATGTGATTTTAAAAATCTTGGTGATATTTGTGCTTGAAATTCCCAATACAAGGGAACCATCAGTCCCATAGTTCTAGAGGCCTTCCCGAGGGTACAGTAAATCTCTGCTTTATGTTCCAGCTCAGTGTTTTACAGGAGAGGCTGCAAGGCTTGGCAAAGTGGCCCGGGATTCAGAGTCAGATCTTAATGGATGTGAACTCTGACTCTGCCTCATTCCAGTTGAGTCATATTTTCTAGTTGTTTTATGTGCCTTTGAGTTCCTCTTTTCTCATTTGTAAATTGAGGCGTATCAGCTGCCTTGTATTTGGAAGGTTGGTAAAGTTGTGGCGCTTCTGTTGAGGCCCAAAAGGCAAAGCTCTTGCTGGCTGCACTAGGAGAAGCGATGGTAGCACAGAGCATCTGCTTTAAAGAAACCTAAAGAGGAGGCTGCTCCTGCCAGGCACTGTGGTACCTGTAAGCGACAGCATCAAGTGCTGCCGAGAGCCTGGTACCGGGGATCCTTGTGTCCTTGGGGTGGATCCTGACTCCTCCCCTGTAGGCAGCGACATGTCCAACTTCCCACCGAGACAGGTGTGTCTTTTCTCAGAGTGTGAGGAGCACAAAGGCATCACAGAATCTGTGCTGGGGGAGAAGATGCAGTTCAAGGAGGAGAAGCTGGCAGAGAAGTCGACACAAGCTGAGGAGCTCAGGTGAGGGAGGCTCTGTGTGGTGGGGCAGGCAGGTGGAAGGTGTGTGAGTCTCTGACGGGGGCAGCTCAACTGGAGAAATAAGAGCTAACCTGGGCCAGGAGAAGGGCGGGGATTTACATAGCAGGCACATATCGTGCAATATTTATAAAACAATTACAGAACAACAATGCTAGTAAATTATGGGCTGCAATTGTTACTCAGAACAAGTAACTATTGAGGCAAAATTTGTAAAACACAAAATTAACCAAAGGAAAGTGAACAACTCAGCATTTAGTATACTCAAAATATTGTGCAATCAGCACTACATTTTCTCTTTTTAAACGCTTTATTTTAATGTTTGTAGGTACATAGTAGGTGTACATATTTATGGAGTGCCTGAGATATTTTGGTACAGGCATGCAATGGATAATAATGACATCACATAAAATGGGGTGTCTATCCCCTCAATAATTTGTTGTTTATGTTACAAACAATCGATTATACTCTTTTAGTTATTTTTAAATGTACAATTATATTATTAGCTATAATCACACTGTTGTGCTATCAAATGCTAGGTCTTATTCATTCTATTTTTTTGTACACATTAACCACCCCCATAACCTCAGCTCCCACTATGCTTCCCCGCCTCTGGTGACTATCCTTCTACTCTTTATCACCATGAGTTCAATTGTTTCGATTCTTAGATCCCACAAATAAGTGACACCATGCGATGTTTGTCTTTCTTTGCCTGGCTAATTTCACTTTGCATAATGACCTCCAGTTCCATCCATGTTGCCACAAATGACAGGATCTCATTCTTTTTTATGGCTGCATAGCACTCCATTGTAAATAAGTACCACGTTTTCTTTATCCTTAGAATCATCTTCTGACTTACTGGCTTCTCATTCTTTCATTCATTTGAATGTTATTATCTTGACCCTGTCATTCTTTCATTCTTTCATCTCTCTGAATAACCTCAGCTATACTTGGCCGCATTTCTATGTGTGGTTTTGTGTCTAGTCCCTGCATATTGTGCTATGTGTATTTTTACATGGAGATGTCTATGACCAAAATAAGGAACTAAAGGGACAACTTTCTGAAACAAATTTTGCAAGACATCTAGTTTTCTTTACATGGGAAAAAGTTGAATGGAATGTTGAGGAATCTCATAGGAGCACTCTAATACAGAGGAGGGCTTTTAGTAAAAAATTGTATTTCGGCTGGGCATGGTGGCTCATCCCTGTAATGCCAGCACTTTGGTAGACTGAGGAGGGTGGATCACTTGAGGTCAGGATTTTGAGACGAGCCTGGCCAGCATGTCGAAACCCTGTCCCTAATAAAAACACAAAAATTAGCCGGAAATGGTGACATGTGCCTGTAGTCCTAGTTACATGGGAGGCCGAGGCAGGAGGATATCTTGAACCTGGGAAGTCGATGTTGCAGTGAGCTGAGATTGTATCACTGCACTCCAGCCTGGGGGACAGAGTGAGACTCCATCTAAAAAAAAAAAAAAATTTTTTTTCTATTTGTCAGAGCCATTTCCCCAAAACTGTTCTAAAATTCTGCTTGGAGGGCTTCTTGAGGATATTCTCACAGAAATCTCTGTTGCAGTTCTTTGAACTGATCACTGATCCCTCTCCACTGTTATATTTTCTCTACTATCCCACCTTAGGCGATACAAAGCCTTAGTTCACTCTCAGGCACTAGAGCTGACCCAGCTGAGGAAGAAGTTACGGGAAGGGAGAGAGGCCTCCCTCTTACTCAGTCAGCATCTCAAGGCCCTTCTCACTGATGATGACCCTGACAACCACCAGGGGCAGGACCTCCGAGAGCAGCTGGCTGAGGGGCGCAGGCTGGCAGAGTGCCTTGTCCGCAAGCTCAGCCCAGGTAAGGTAGTCACGGGCCCTGATAATGCAAAGTCCTAGGCTTATGAGAAGACTCCAGACCTCCACACCTGCACAATGACAATTTTATTGGTGGTCTTTCTTTCCACTAAGCATTAGTGCCATGACATGACCAGGACTTCCTGTGTAGGAAAAGAGATGAGAAAGCCAGGGGTTGGAGGTCACAGTACGGCAAAAGCCTCCTTCCTTCTTGACGGAACAGGCCTTTGGAGCAAGAAGCAGCATCCATCCAGTTTTAAAGGACAGGAAGGAGGATGTGACAGGAGGCAGCTTGTTAGAGTGGAGAAAGCCCTGGACTAAGAATGGATGTTCCCAGGCTCTATGCTCAGTAATGTCTTAGTAACTGTGGGCCAGCAATTTATCCTTCCTGGATGTCTATGTCTAACTGGAAATGGAGACAAATTATCTCCCGCGTGGTAGATACAGCATTCAAATGTGGGAACACACATAAGTGTATTTCAAAATAAGACAAAGACCCTCACTGTGTGATATTAGATAAGGTAGTTGATGTGGTAGCATGTGGTGTTAGGAAAGTTGTTAAGACTGGAACACTCTTCATGGAGAGAATACAGCAGAAGCTACTTGGAGGGCCTGTGAAGTCCCCTGATGTATGGAGTGGTGCAGGACAGGTTGTTTGTCCTTTCCTAAGAGAAAGAAATAGGTTTTAGTGAGAGCTGTGAGGGTATGTGGAGTCTGTGCCTGGGAATCGGATCTGTGGCCAGAAGGGGAAGACAGCTGCTGAAGTCCAGAGGGAAGATGGACAAGGCTCCAGTGATATGAGGCGAAAAAGGTCTTTTAAATTTTTTCCCATGTCATGCTGGCTCTCCAGATCAGAACCACATTGCCAGGGCAAAAAATGTGAGAGCTAAAGATGAAACATGGGGGCTTTCAGTGCAACACTGATTTGTACATAGATGTTCATGTCTCTGTGCTCACATAGCTCACTGTGTTTGCAATGGGTGAAGTGGGAAATATCTGAATGGACATGACTGCATTTGTTTGCAGAAAATGATGAAGTTGGGAATGAAGATGCTAAAGATGAGAAAGTTGAAAAGGTCCAAGGACCACTTGCCTCCAGGTAACAATGAATAATCAGGAGCTGGTAATGGGTAGGTAAAATATGGAAAAGGCCTCAGAAAGAAGACAAGAGAGGTACAGGTTGTCATGGATTCTAGATGCAAGGAAAAAAATTGCAGATTGTATTGATTTAGTGCACTCATTCAACAGTGAAATAGCCCTGTTGACATGGTTGTCTATTTTCTTTGTGGTACTTGGAAGCATGACCTGAGGAGAACTTATCAGTCTTGGGGATTTCCTGCACACACAGAAGAGACCCGTTCTCTTCTGTTATGAAAATCAGGAGGAGTTTCATATCTACTTCCTACACAGTTATCATTAGGTTCTTATTAGTTAGGATAAACAGCAAAGAGTTAACAAGGAGAGGAATTAGGAAGTAACTAGCAAAGTTAAACACCAAGAAAAGTACCTAGACCAAAAGTACTTGCTTTTCAAATCACAATATTAGAAGAAGAAGGCCTAGAAGTCACACCATCTCTGGAGTCTACAATGGCTCAGTGTGTATTTTCTTGGCCACAGTATGTTACATTCAACCCAACTGAGTCACATGATGTAGCAGCTGTTGGGGTTCTCCATGTGCTCTGTGTTACATCTGTACCATACAGAGATAGCTGAGTCTCTTCCCTCCTTGGATCCTACCTGCCCAGTGCAATGAGCTCCAGTTGCTCTCTTCTTCTCAGGCCCCCATGGCAGCCACACCCTGTTGCAGAGAGAGGAGGATTGCCTTTTCCCTCTTAAAGGGAACCACTCCTTTGGTTTTTTGGGACCACTCACTTATGCCTCCTGACAAAACAGCTCGCACTCCCTGGGGTCTAAGCACTCTTGGTTTGATCTTCTGTCACCTCTGTTATCTCTGTACCACCTGGCTCATCAGGGAGGTACAGGAGACTGAAGAAAAGGAAGTCCCTCAGAACTCACTGGAGGAATATTCTGCCACTTGTTCAATTTGTCATGACCCTTCTGACTCCCACCAGCCTCAGAGGAGTGCCAGAATCACACCCGAGGAAGAGAAAGTCAACTTTGCTCTGGATGTATGCAGTGAATCTTCACATTACGAAGAAGAGGAGGAAGTGCTAAACATTCTCCCAGGTAGCTTCTATATTCTTCGTCCTTTGTACCTCTGCCTAGGCTGAGAAAGTGCAGCTCTGAGGACAGGGCCTATATATACATATTGGTCTGAATCAGGAAGTAGGATTAAGTATTAAACACAAATATCAGGTGGGTCAGGGGGCTCCCCTCTCCTCCTCAGCCCATGTCATGCCTTAGTCTCTCTGGCCCCAGTATCAGGTTATTGCACCTCAGGTAGGTGTGATAAACTCATACTCACCTGTGTACAGGAGGTATAGAGGAGGCATCTGTCAGGTATCTGTCAGATTTCTCCTATCTTGGATCCAATGTCTTTTTTCTCCTGCAGTGATGTAATTTGTGTCCCCGAACAATGTCCTTGGAGTATCTATGCCTGTCAAAGGTCATTGGCCGCCTTGCCTATAGATTTGGAGATGTCATTACCTTGGTTTTATTGCTCTCAGCTACAGTCTTTATTCTCCTTTAAGTTGGCTTAGCTTAGCTTAGCAGCCACCTCAAAACCCGGACATAAACACTTCTATCTTTATCTTGCTTATAAGTTTCCATAAAGCAAGGCTGAGGCCTGAGTTCTCCACCCTACTAATGGCCAATTTTTCTGTGTAACACCGTATAATCTTTTATTATGAGAGGGTTTTTAGAATTTATCCTTCAGTTCAGACTTGTGTATAAATTCCTCTAAACATTCAACAACCATGACATCTACTGAGACAAGTCAATATTGCAGCGACACGTCTAGAAAGTAGTTAATCAAATTCCTGAAGATCTTGGGGAAAAAGTTTTTTTTTTTAACTGCCTAACAGACACAGGCCAGAGGATATGCAATTATGATGTACCAGAAGAGGAAGATTCTGCCCCATGGGCCTGGACAGCAGGTTCATCTACTTCTTCCAAGACTTAATCTAGGGCATCTTAGAGCTTTTCTGTAAGAATACTATATTCTTACGCTAAGAATGTTAATACCCTTGTGTTATGATTGGACACTAATTTGGTCATGTGTGGAGTATGATTTGCTTAATGTGATCCTCTCTTCTGAATTTATTTGCAGAAAATCACAATGATAATGAGGAAGAGGAAGGGAAACAGTCAGTGTCCCCCAGGTAACTCTGATTTGTGAGCTGGTTGTTCAATAGTGGCATCTGGAGGATGACATCAGGGAAACATAGGAGTTTATGAATAGGACTATTTTATACATTCAGTTGACTACAAATTATTCTTTTGAACAATGTTTTCTTTTTTCTTGTGGTACTCATATACATTTCAATCTCTCTCTCTCTTTCTTTCTTTTTCTTTCTTTCTTTTTCTTCCTCTTCTCTTTTTTCTTTCTTTCTATCTCTCTCTCTCTCTCCTGTCTTCCTGCTTTCCTTTCCTCTTTCTTCCTTTCCTTTCATTTCCATTCCATTCCTTTCTTTTCCTTTCCTTTCCATTTCTCTCCTCTCCTCTCCTCTCCCTTCCCTTCCCTTCCTTTCCCTTTTCCTTTCCATTTCCTTTTCTTTTTTCCTTTCCTTTCCTTTCCTTTCCTTTCCTTTCCTTTCCTTTCCTTTCCTTTCCTTTCCTTTCCTTTCCTTTCTCTCTCTTTCCTTCTTTCCTTCTTTCTCTTTCTTTCTTTTTTTCTGACAGGGTTTCACTCAGTCATCCAGGTGGAGTACAGTGGTACTATCAAGACTCACTGCAGCTTTGACCTTCCTGGCTCAAGTGATACTCCTGCCTTAGCCTGCTTTCAATTGCTTAATCCCTCTCAAGCATAGTATCCTGCAATCAGTTGACCCAAGTGAACTCACCAAACTCATGGATTTTTTGATATCACCTGTCCTCTTCCATGTGGTTAAATCCAGGCTGAGATACACCCTGTTAGGTGTCAACTTGTTGGCAAGTATCTGATCACAAGAGAAGAAAATTGAATAAAACCCCAACTCCATATTATGTCAAAATATGTTGCTTCTTCTTTCTCATGAGCTTCTAATCTGGGCAATTCACTGAACATGAGCCATCTCTATCTCTCTTTCTCTTTCTCTCACCATCCCACGGCAGCCACACTCTGTCCCACCATGAAGAGAATAATTTGTACCTTTTATTGGGTCAGCCCCTTTGCTTTCTGCAACTGTTGCCTTATGTCTTCTGTCAAATCCATCTAGGAGTCTGTAGTCCCCGGCCCCCTTGGTTTAACCTTAGACCTTCCTACCCCATCAGTCTCAGCAAGGAGGTGCCACAGGTGGCAGAGCATGAAGTCCTCCAAGAGCCACGGGATGAATGTTGTTTGACTCCATTGATTCCTGCTGACCCATCTGGCTCCCATCTGTCTTACAGAAGCACCTTGTACTCATTTGAGAAACAGCAAGTCTGCTTGGCTCTTGATGGGGGAGGAGTGCTCCACTGTGAATGTGATAAACATCCAAGTGATGTCTCAGGTAGACTTCATAGTCCTTGCACCCTGAGCCCCAGAGTGGGCTTAGAGATGTCATCAATGTGCCCAGAAATCATGGACACGAGTTGTTTTGAATCAGATTCTAGAGTTGAATTTGAAACACCAACATGGGTTGGGTCAATGAGCTCTGCTCTCTTCCTTGTCTCAGACCATGCCTGTGTCATCCTGGGCCCACTATCAAGATATTGGACCCAAGACAGATGTGACAAATTCACACCGACCTGTGCAGCATATTTCCAAGAGGTGTCTGTGAGATGTCTTAATTTGAATACAATTTGTCTTTCCAGCTATTATTGTGTTCCTTATAAATTTCTTTTCCCAACCATATCCCTTGAGGTTCTATGACTGCCCAAGGTCAGTGGCATCTTTATCTACCTTTCTGTGGAAAATGATACCAAGGTTTCATTGAACCCAGGCCCATTCTCTATGTCTTTGATGTTGGCTTGTTGTAGCTAAGCAGGCCATTGACTTGCTGGTATGTTTCTGGAAGCAAGACTGACCACTGTCACTCCTAGATGCCCAAATAGCCATTGTTACTGTGTAGCACAGAGATTCATTTTGATTCAAGAGTATATAGATTCCCTCCATCCTTCTAATTTCAGCATCTAAAATGCTGTAAACTGTGAACAACCTTGGTATTTGATGAGGGAAGGCTACATATTGCAGTTTCCTTTCTAGAAAACATCTGGGCGTATTTGCTTTGAATTGGTATGAAAAATATTGCTTACCTGTTTGCGCAGTCTCAGGACAGATCGTATTGAGATAATGATCTACAAGAATAGGGAGATTTCACCCCTAGGCTCAGGGAAATCCAAGGCATTTCTATCATGACAGGACCTCAGGCCTCCCGAAATATTTCTCTCACAGTGTCCCGTTCTCACACTGAGGAGACTGATGTCTCTGTGTTAGGATTGGATGGTGGATTGTTCATGGGTGTAGGAGAATCTGCTTAATTTGTCTCTCCCTGTCTGAAATTATTGACAGAACTTGAACATGACCAAGAGGATGTGAAGGACCAAGACCCATCAGGCCCTAGATAACTCCAAGGAACTACAGACAGTTAATTCAGTGGACATCTGGAGACTCTGGATGCAGGAAAAATCAGAATGTGCTGAATATTTGTTCCATCTATTTAGCCAATCATGAAATATTTTTTGTTATTAGAATTGCCTGTTTTCATTGTATAGCTGTATTTGTATTTCCCCTTCTTTATTAATTCCTCTCAATTGTACTAATCTTTCTTCAGTTGACTCAGTTGAACTGATCTATCAGAGATATTTTCTGCAGTCCCCTTTTCTATCATTTTTGTTTAATGCACATCTGATGTCTGTGCTTTGGCATTACCATGTGTGCAAGTATTTCACAGCATGAAAATGAATGAAAAAATTCATATCTTGCTACAATATTGAGAAAAAGAGATGTTGGGGATACAATATCTCTAAGAGTCTAGGAAAACTCAAGAGCCCATGTTCATTTGGCCACTGCATGCTGCTATGAATACAATTTATGCAAAAATGCTGAATGCACCATGATGTCCCTCCGTGTGCATTATGTGTCATGGCTGTTTTGTACAGGGATCATTCCATCTCCTTCGTCCTCTGCTCATTGTCTACCCAGTGCACCGAGCCTCTGCTGCTCTATCTCTTCTGCCCCAGATGGGGAAGAATTGTTCTATCTCTCTGAGGGGCCTGCCCTTTCCTTCCTCTGGCCCCTCCTGTAGGCCTCCCTTTAGAGCCAGCTGGGCACTGAGGTTTTGCTTCCCTCTGGTGTTTATCTTCAGTCTTCTTCACTCACCAGGCCCAGCAGGCAGCTGCTGGAGGTAGAAGAGCTCGATGTCACAGAGGACTCACTGGGTGAAAGTTACTTGACTCCTTCGACTGAATATGACCTATGTGACTGCTACCAGACTTACAGTAGCACCTTGTGCTCATTGGAGAAACAGCTCACCTGCTGTGCTCTGGATGCAGCCTGTGAGTACTTCATCCCAAAAGTCATAAAGCTCCACTAGTCTCCCTTCCAGGCAGCCTCTCTATTTTTTTGTTTCCTGCAATTTGTGCAGGCTGAGACATGACATCACTGTACTTAGATTGTTTTGAATCTGGCTCTTGGATCCAGTTTTAAACACAGACATCCAATGGGTGGAACTTTCCTCTTCTCTTGTCCTAGGTGACGCCTTTGTCACCAGGCCCTTTCTCACAAGAGTGGGATGTGAACATCAAGACAGGCCTGAGAAGGGAAAAGGTGAGTGGCAATTGCAAACACTCGGCCACCTGTAACTCAGCTGAAGACATTTGTATGAAAGACCTCCTTCTTTAAGATAAGACATCTAACTTTGGAGAAAGTATGTTGCTAGTTGCATTTCCTGGACAGTGCCCTTCACTATTCTCTGGTCATCCACTTGTGCTGGCAGTTTTGCCCAATTATTTTGGAGGTCTGTTTTCATGATTCCTATGTCCCAGGCCAGATTCTCAACTTCTTCTGAGGTGGCTTCCCTCCAGCTGAAGCAAGCTAGTGTCCCATCCTGCCTGCATGGCCACGGCTTTCATTCTTTGTGGAGCACCGGTGATTTTTTTCCATGTGTGGGTTTATAATTTCAATCATGTGTCTGGTCTCAGTGTCATAATGTCACATAAGCCATCAAAAACTAGTGTCCCTGATGAGGTGCTGGCCTAACTGATGAGCCAATTCCATCATGTGGTTGGAACCATGTGGTTCCCATCCCCACGATCTCCAGGAGATCCTTCCTGTTGACTGGTTGTCCCACGGGGCAGCAGCTTCATAGGGTGTGTGGAGAAAAAAAATCCAATTTTCATTTCTTCCCACTTATTATATTTTTTTGGCTTTCTGAGAGTTGCATGCGGATTTTTGAGCATTTTACCCATAAAATTATCTTGTGGTAGGAGCAAGTAACTCTGTGATACTCTCCAGTATATCTCACTATATTCTAATGAAATTAGCAATTAAAATATTGGTCTTGGATACTATTTTGGTGGGTAAGTGTCTTTTGTGCTAGGACCATTCGGTTTCCTGTTTTCCATTTCTCCTTGAGGTTCAGAGAAGCAACGACTTTTCTCAGGATCACAGGGATTCATGAAACAGACAAAATATGCATTTATCTTATCTCTGTTGTGTGCCATGCCCCTTGCCAAGTGAGCTCTGTCTACGCTTGTCTCTGGCCCATTCAGTGCTCAAGGGACACTCCCAAGTAGGTGGTGGCATCTCCGTGTTAGAGCTGAAGACTGTGTTGAGGCTCAGCAAGATCCCTCACTTGCCCCGTAGGTGATGGCCTGACTAGTATTGGTGGGAACACGGCCCAGTGTCTGCCCTATTCCACAGCCCAGTCTCCATCTACTTCTCTGCAGTGGCTTCTTTCAGGGGCTGAGCTTAGATGGGTGCTTACCCTTTTTCCTTTTGTAGCAAATCATTTTGAAATACTTTCAAGCTTAAACAGAAAAGCTTCCAGTCTGGTACAAAGAACTCTGGTAGCCCTGGCACAGATTCCCTAAGAAAGAAAACCTTGTGCACTTTGTCTGTCCCCAGAGCCAGTGCCTCCTCCAATCCCTAAAGGGGGAGCTCCAGCTCCAGGAGGCTCTCCCTGGAAAGTCAATCAGGAGCTGAAAGGTCCTGCTCTCCTCCACCCACTGTCCTCAGAGGTTCTGCTCTGAACTGGGCTGTCCTGGTAAAGCTGCGGGGCTCTGCCTCAGAAACACTCCAGCCAAGACGGGGCTCCCGTGAGGAGGAAGGGAAATGCTCAGACACATGTCTCAGAAGTGAGATGTGTGCAATGTGGGACGGCCCTGCCAGGGCATCATGAAACATGGGCCAGAGAGGCCAAATGCTTCTTTGCAGATGATTGGGATGAATGAAGGCACTATCCAGATTGTACAAGGATGCATCCTTTGTGTGGGTTCACACACTATGCGTGAATAGTGTGTATAGAGCACAGCCTTGACCCCAGCAGCAGTGACACAGGAGGTCAGCTCCGCTGCATCCTCTCTCTGCAGGGAAAACGTTGGTAGAATCAGTGAGAAGACAACCTAAATTATAACTTGATCTTTTATTGGCGGCTTTTCCCTACCTGCCCAACTAATAAAATATACAGTACTTCAGAAGTTTGAGAAAATTCTAAGAATATTCAAAGTATAAGTTTAATAAGGTTTGGTAGTCTGAAAAAGAATGATAAAATGACATGATGAAATTAAGTAGTGATGACTAAAAACATTCCTAGAGCTTGATTCCTGTCCAAATGCAGAGGGCAAGAATGGGGAGACCTGGGTTTGAACAGTCTTTACCAACCAGATTTGCTGTTTCAAGATGTTTTCCCCATCAGCCCAATATAGACTATCATGGAATCTTAAAGATGTCCTGAGTGACTGATGGGTGATAATTAGAAAACTGTCCTGAGTAACTACGGAGGTCACACCAAGCTGAAAGTAGGGCTTGTGGACAAAGGCCAGAGGCCTGGAGGCACCCAGTGCAGGGCTGGGGCCAGTGAGGGGCCATCCTGACTCCAGCGGAGAATTTGTATGAGGGAGTAGTAGGAAGGGATATTGGATGAGAATATGGGCCAGAAGTTAGAAGGAGAACAAAGGCAGGGCCGGGGGTGAGAGTCATGTAGTGGGCAATGGAGAGAAAGTTTTCAGAAGTGAGTGGGAATGTGATAAGATCAGGGTGATAAAACTGTTGATTCAATTGCCAGTGTAGAGATGGCAGAATCAGAGAAGGCAGTTAGGGAGACTGTATGAAGCCAAGAATGAGTGATGAGAGTCTGATATAACTGCTCTCAGGAAGATGAAGTAGAGTAGATACGTGAAAGACATTTTATGAAAAACTTAAGGAAACCTTGGTGAGAATGAGGATGTGTAGAGGGAGGAGAGGGAGGAGCTCCACAGCAATGTGGAGCAGGTCCTGAGGGCTCGGTCCCCTTCCTGGGCTGACCTTGGATTGGCGGAGGCCATTCGAAGTCTCTCATTAGGCCACCTTCTGAGAATGTGTGTTTTTCTCCCTGTGG